GATAATTAACAAATCTTGATTAATCCAAAAGAAGGTGAAAATGAAGAGAAAATGTAATATAGAACAAATGAGAAAATAGAAAGCTAATTGTAAGAGGATAGATTTAAATTCAAATATATATGAGTTACATTAAATGTGAAAGGATCAAGTGCTCCAGTTAAAAGACAAAGATTGTCTAGGTAAAAACAAAACAAAACTTCATGTGCTGCTTATAGGCAACACATCTTTAATATAAAATCACAGAAAGTTTGAAAGTAATAGGATAAAATAAGATATATCCAGAAAATGATAATCAAAAGAAAACTGGTATAGCTATGCTACTTACTAAAATTAAGTAGATTTTAAGGCAAAAAGAATCACTAGATATAAAGTGGGACATTAATAATGATAAAAGAATCAATATAAAAGATAACAAAATTTATATACAGCTAATAACCCAAGAAGAAGTAGAAAATCTAAAGAGAATAATAACTATTGAAGAGGCTAGTAGAATACCATTTAAAAAGGCACCAGAATGAGAGAGCTTTAGAACTAAGTTTTACATAACCTTCTAAGAATATATACAAGGACACTTCAAAAAGCTTATGGAAAAATGGAATTAAAAGATAATATGAATCTTTCCATGAACTTTTTGAAGACCCCTCGTAATTCCTACTTAAACAGTTCAAGACCTAAGGGATAAAATGTAAACCTCTCAAATTCATTTAATGAAGCTTGTAAAAGAAACATTGTAATAATAATAAATCAACAAAGTCATCCACATTGAATATTATTTACGAGTATATTCCAGGAATGCAAGGGCATAGTATTTGAAGATTTATCAAGAAAACTGATTATATCAATAAATTGAAGGGAAAAAACAAATTATGTCAACAGATGCTAAAAAGGCTTTAATCATGGATAGAAGAAAACAAGTTAGACCGAATAAAAACATAAAGTCCAGCTAGATTAAGGATCTAAATTGAAAAACCACAAAAAGAAACAAAAACTAAACCAAAAGCAACAAAACAAAACAAACAAAC